ATACTTTCTTTTATACTTGACTGTAGTAGTTCATTTAAATGTTGATGTTGAATTGTGACTCTTCAGGACTTCCATATTACAGGCACTCTTCAGGATCTCTAAGTTATAAGTCATCTTTGCCCACACAACACCGTTTACCTGGTCCATGCACTTGTCCTGATGGCTCTAGAATCCTCAAAGACCACTTCCCACAAGACCAGTATGAGAAATTAATGCAGCGACGAGCTAAAGAGTTCCAGCAATACAAAGCCAGGTAGGAGATGGATGTATGAGTGGGAGCTTTCCGGGAACTGTTAGACTTACAGTTCAGTAATAAAATAATTTAAAGTGTGTGTGTGTGTGTGTGTGTGTGTTACTGAGTATTCAAAATTCTTTTGTGTAATTTTTCCCAATTCCATCTCCTCAACAGGACTAATTCAATACTATCCAAGCTACTTTTTGCTTTGCCTAATTCTCCTCTGCAGTATCCTATCCAGGGCGTTATAGTACGACCCTTGACTGCAACTGCAATACCAGGTGTGTCAAGCTCAATATATGCTTCAGTCACCAATGTTTTAGTTTTTATGTTCCTATAAAAATATAAATGCAAATAGAATAGGAAGGCAACAAGGCCATGGTTCACAGTTGTTTATGAAGATACTGTTAACATGAAAGTGATCATAGTACTTTTTATAAAATTATGCTGTCAGTAGTCAGATCGAATTGGTCCCAATCATGTCATTGGGACAAAAAAACAGCACAAAAAGCTTAATATTTTCAAAAGTACAAAAGTAATGACACTAAAAGATATAGCAGGTAAGAACAGAAATGGCAGAATTTTTGAAATTTGAATGGTGAAAATAGCCTGAGAACTGTGGGAGTAAAAGGACAAAGAACGGAGCAACTAGAATAATAAGAAGATTAAAAATATAGGGAAACAGGAACAAAATAGGTTGAATGCCTATGGCTTTCACCCACTGAGAAAAACCTGAGTGAAAGATAGCTGAGGTGTCCTCAAGAACTCACCTGACAACACTTGTGTAAAGTCAAAATATGATGTGAATATGTGTATTTCAGTAGAAGGACTAAGTGACACTGAAGGTAATTTTTGAATTTCAGGTTTACGTCTGCATGCTGAAGAAGGAAACAGCTATAAGGTTGGTCTGATATCACAGATTGGAAACAGGCAGATCTCACCCAGATCTGCCTGACTGAATGGTAGAGGTTGGCTGATTTATGAAAGATGGCTGCTGAATGTTTCTAAAGTTCAAAGATATGTGTGTTTAATTTGTATACTGTATACTAACTATCAAAAAAAGTATTATTGCATTCATGTGTGGCAAACAAGGCTTGATATACAATCTACATAGTCAGTACTGGCTTTCATAACACATTGTTATTCAGTTTCAGTCAGTTTATTTTAGTAGACCCTATATTTCACCAGGTAACACTGGTATTGGCTAGTGATATATGTAAATCTGTGCAAGTTATGCATGTACAGTACAGTGAGGTGCAGAAACTGGCAGTAGGACTGGGAGTTGAGCTTGACTCCATCCTCAACCCGAAAAGGCCCCACAAGCTCATCTTTGATGATACCAGCCCAAACCAGTACTCCACCTCCACCTTGCTGGCGTCTGAGTCGGACTGGAGCTCTCTGCCCTTTACCAATCCAGCCACGGGCCCATCCATCTGGCCCATCAAGACTCACTCTCATTTCATCAGTCCATAAAACCTTAGAAAAACCAGTCTTGAGATATTTCTTGGCCCAGTCTTGACGTTTCAGCTTGTGTGTCTTGTTCAGTGGTGGTCGTCTTTCAGCCTTTCTTACCTTGGCCATGTCTCTGAGTATTGCACACCTTGTGCTTTTGGGCACTCCAGTGATGTTGCAGCTCTGAAATATGGCCAAACTGGTGGCAAGTGGCATCTTGGCAGCTGCACGCTTGACTTTTCTCAGTTCATGGGCAGTTATTTTGCGCCTTGGTTTTTCCACACGCTTCTTGCGACCCTGTTGACTATTTTGAATGAAACGCTTGATTGTTCGATGATCACGCTTCAGAAGCTTTGCAATTTTGAGACTGCTGCATCCCTCTGCAAGATATCTCACTATTTTTGACTTTTCTGAGCCTGTCAAGTCCTTCTTTTGACCCATTTTGCCAAAGGAAAGGACGTTGCCTAATAATTATGCACACCTGATATAGGGTGTTGATGTCATTAGACCACACCCCTTCTCATTACAGAGATGCACATCACCTAATATGCTTAATTGGTAGTAGGCTTTCGAGCCTATACAGCTTGGAGTAAGACAACATGCATGAAGAGGATGATGTGGACAAAATACTCATTTGCCTAATAATTCTGCACTCCCTGTAATTTAAAACTGACATGAAAATTTGCATTATTAACCAACCAACCAAGTATAATAAAGTTTAAGTTATTGTGTGTTACATACCTAGTAGAGTCAACAGATTCCCTGAATGTGAATTCAATAAGGAGAGATAATTAGATTTGATTTATTGATGAAAAGAATATAGGTCAGGTGTTTTGCGGTTAGACTACGATGGCCTTTCTCAGCAGAAAGGAACCCCAGCTGTGAAAGGGATTAGAGCAGGAACCCCAAAATAACAATACAGTTCTCCTGGCTGGGGAAAAGAATATGCACGTTAGGAGTAATGCATGTCGCTGGCAGGGCATAGCAAGCATAAGTACAGAGAAGGGTGAGAAACTAGGAAAGCTCTGGTAGGAACCCGACCAGGGTTAAAGGAGAGCCTTTTAGCCAGAGGAACAGACCGCCCATCAGAATGGGTGCTGGCACTGGCGCCGGGCCTCCAATGGCCACGACAGACCAGTACAGTGTCTACCTCACTGCAGCCACAGCACCAATCACTCTGTCGATCTCCTGCTCCCTTCTCCCCTAATTGGTGAACAAGACCTCAAGATATTTAAATTTCTCCACTTGGGGCAGGAACTCTTCCCTGACCCAGAGTGGGCACTCCACCCTTTTTTTTCAGCTGACCGAACCACGTAACCATGGCATAGTTGTCAACTATGTATTCATAGTTGTCCTGCTGGTTTGTCAAAACCAGAAGCAATCACCAGATTTGTGATACGAGATGTATGACATGAGCAACAGAGTTGTTATAGCTCTTAGTTCTTGAGACTAGACCAGAATAAATAATAAAGAAGCATACTTGCATCTCCCACTAGTTTGCACTTTAACAAGACAGATGACACACCTTTGGGCTGTGTAATGTATCTGATATGCACTGAATCTTAAATAAAACTATATGAATGATGAAAAATATGTATTTGCGTCAGGTTCTCTAAAAGGCGGCACTAATGTCTAATGCCTTCTCACTTTAAAGCTTTCTTCTGGTTTAAAAAGACAGCTTAAGGGGTGGTGCAGTTTTGTGGAGATGGTAGTAATGTTGGTATTGCTAAAATTACTCAGAGCACTTTTTAGTTTATTCATGTGTTTCTATTATAGGTCCTGTTAACTGTGTCTAATGGTGTCCTAACAACAGAAACTCCAACTGCAGAGGCCACTGTTCAAGGTGAGTTTCCAAGTCAAAGGTAAATTTATATATACACTGGTACCAAATTAATATTGTTTTTTAAAAAAAACCATATTATTAGCTTGCTTTTTTCTCTTTGTTTCAATGTTTTTTGTTCCTATGTCCCCGATAGAAGGGTCAACATTGTACAGAAAATGCTAATATTTATATAATTCTTTTGGATGAAACATTGAAGAGTGGAAGAAGTAAAAGCTGGGTGTAAAGTAAACTATTTGACGAACGTGACATTGATACACTCATCCATACCAATAGAGCATCTACAGCAATTACATTGGGATATCATTCAAACTGGAGAAGTTTATTTGAATGGTAACAAAGAGAGGGAAGGTGGGGGATTGCACTTGTTGATCTGTGGGACCAACCCCCGAATACAGGAAGTTTGATCACATGAGGATTACCTCAGTGCAGAGCTTGGATGGATGTTGGATATCTCTTGTTCAGTGTTCTTGAAATATGACAGGGTTTAGTTTAGTGGCCTGGACTGTAAGACTCAAGGTTCTGAGTTCATTTTCTCTAGCCACACCTGATAGCCAGGGCTTTGCCCATGGGGGCTAGCTGGCCTCAGCCCAAAGAAGCTACAGTGAAATGCAAAAGTTTGGGCAACATTGTCAATAGTAATTATTTTCCTGTATAAATCATTGGTTGCTACAATAAAGGTCATGTCAGTTAAATGACATTCAGTTAAATATATCATATAGGAGACACACACAGTGATAAATGAAATTATATATGGATTATATATGGAGATATATATATCTCCATATATAATCCAATGGAGTTTATTGGATGTGTATTGATGGATATTGTTTGTATTTGGAGGTGTTCTGTCAGCAGTCAGTGCTGACAGGGAATCTTTACACCAGACATATCACAGTTTGATGGATAACAGGTATGATGTCACCTGAAAGGAGATCATAGTTTAGGTTGATATTTTTATTTAAGTTATTACATTCTTATCCAACTGCCCTGTGATTAAACCGTACTCTG